ACAATTTACACCAATATGAAGAAATCCTGAGGGTTAGTGAGACAAAAAGAAAACAACAGGAAAAAAACAAAATGAAACAAACGGAAAAACAAAAACGGCACGAGAAGATGGGTGCCGTCAAGCTTTGTGCACCATGTGTTTTTGCAGTTAATACTCTGACCGTGGTTTATGAAATGTTCTACGCAATTCCACTCAAAATAAACTTGCTGACGAGCACACCGATCTTCCAAAGTTTCCTTTGTACTGTTCTTTTATTCTTCTAGTCATTGCACGTGGTCTTGTCTTTTTTTGAAGCGTGTACGCGTCGCGAAAATATTTTTGAGAATATCCTGCAGCTTTTTTCCTTGTGTTCTTCGAGCGAAACCTCTTTGCTCTCGTAGATTCACGTTTTCAGGGTAAATATGTCTCAACCTAATCATAAACCAGGGAGCGGAAAGCACAAGAGGTATGCGATAACAACTCGAATTTTGCATTTTCTCTTTTGTCTGCTTGTCCGTCCTCCTGCCTTATTTCGGTATTAACGCGTCTTTATTTCAGCCGAGGTCCAGACTTTATCTGCAAGCCCCGTTTTCGAAATACTCTGCCGGACGTGCCATTTCCCGGGAAATTCCTACCATGTCCATTTCGTTGAGTTAGAAAGGTTAGCTCATTATAAGGGACCTACAGCAATGTGGTGCCTCCTACAATAGTCTCAGCTGTTATTCATGTTTATTTGCAGGTTTATCGACTACAAACCTACCTCCTTAGAAATGGAATACAAGTTTGAAGTTCAGTGTGAAATGGATATCGGGTTGAACCTCGATCTCATTGATCCCAACACGTACAAAGTCGACAGTGCCGCCGAAATTCAGGTCCTCTATCAAACTATTATCCCTGTGTAGGTTTTCATTTGGAGGTTGAAGGCACACTTGCTCAGATCTAACGTTTCACTTGCGCCCTTGCGCTTTATTTAGAGACGAACTCTTAATTAACACCTCAGAGGAAGCGGTCCATGACTGAGAATTGCGTCAAGAATCCAATGCCTCTGACTGTAGTGCGAAATGTGCCTTCAGCTAAAATCCAAGTGCTCCACGTATTTCCATGAACACTGGAAATAACAGCTCATCTTTCTATTTGTTTAGCTTAACGAGAAGGATGCCTTACTACTGGAAGATGAAGATTCAAACGCTAAACAGATCAAGAGGTAGTTTTCAGTTTTATAATGTTCCTTTCTTTTCAAGCAAGAGGTTGTTCATATCATCACATTAGATCAATCATTTTAGAATATTTATTTCTTTCATTGGTTTACTTTATACCAGTAGTACTCTTTCGTGTGCAGTGGGTCTTCTCCTCACACAATTTCTAGAAAGTGGGCAAGTCGAATCGGCCTGCCTTCCCACTTATATCGTGCGCCTACCCACTTCCTATCGTTTATCACACTTACCGCTCTCCGGACTCTTCTGGAACCGAAGAATTTTTGAAATTTTTTGGCTAGCGCCGCCTCTTCATAGAACGCCTCTCCCAGTGGGGGCCTCTCCCTCATTCCATGCACTTACCCTTTTCCTATCAATCCCACTTTTTCCGTTCTTCAGGCTCAATTTCGAATTGAATTATGCGTTTTCGAAATACGTGGCTCCTGGCTGAAAGCAGACCAGCCCATAGTGGGCCGGGCTTTGCCCACTTCATGTGTGTACCGTACATCCTCAGAACTGCTGTACCCAACCCACCCTTGACCCGGCTCCAGAGCTAGCTTTTCAGGCGATGTCAAATTTCCGGACAGACCTGAGAAGCAGTTCATATTTACAGAAGTTTCCACACATTTCAATAGCACAAAATAGAATATTGAAAAAAAACCGAATGGGAAACTTGTAGGATAAAATTGATTCGCCTACACTGTTTCTATCCGTACTTAAGGTCTGCACAACATTCCAAAGTGGTTCCGTGGATGCGAAAAACGCAGTATATTTCATCAGAATTCAATAGATTTGGTGTAGCTGCAGACAGGTGAGTGAAGCATTTTCTGTTTCACTTGGCTAATAGCTCGTTAACTTTTATATTCAATTTTCGATTTTCATTTACAGGCAAGAAATCAAAGTAGGATATAACCTAACAAAGAATAAGGAGAACTTGACGATATTCCGCGATAGGCAGAGCCAAATTACTCTGATCACAAAGTCTTTCGAAGATGTAGGCTTATGGCTTCCATATACTAAATTATATAGCCTTTTCGTAGATTTTATGATTTGTTTTCAGTGCAAAGTACCGATTCGGAAACATTTCACAAAGAAAGGAGTTACTGCCGTCGAGGAGATACCCATATTGCCAGATTTTACGGTAATTGCATTAGTTTTCTTGGGCCATTTATAGTTTTTTTTGGGCCATTTATTATATCAAGAATTACGCTATGATTATGTGACGCTTTTAATTATTTGACGTTTTCGTTCTTTGCCTCAGAAGGGACGCAAATTTGGACGATTTTCTGTAAAATAGCCCAGCGTCTGCGCCAAATACATTGTTTTGAATCGATGCACACAGTATGTACCCGCTACTGTCACTTCTCAGAGTCCAACCCGGAATGCAGCCGAAGCTTTATTACGCTACATAAGTGCTTTGTGTATGGGCGCTTTACCTTATGGGGTGGGGAGAAGTGGGGGAGGAGGGTGGAACGCATTTGAAGAACATCTTGTGAAAGAAAGGGTTTTCCTTATGGCGTTAAGGATTTTCGCCCAACTCTAAAAGAGGGAGGCAGCTTTGAAGTGAGTGAATTCTATTCGAATGACCATAATTGTAGATTTACATAGTTAGTTCTTTGTACGCCCTCCTCCCTTCAGGGCTGCTAGCGCCAAGTTTACTCTCTGGGACCAGTATGACTCCTTAACGCAGAAAATTTGTCGGAGTTTTGCACGAGCGCAGTTAAGTTCCGAGTTCGCAAGGTAAGTGCTTCTGCGATGCGGAAATTCTATTCAAATTTCCGAAATTCGATGCAAATGTAGCCTGGACTGAGTACGTGCGAAGTACCGAGCGAACAAAGCCTCGACTAGTTTTGAGTTTTTCAGCTTTGGAAGTATCCGTTCGCGGTGGTGCAGTTCGATGTTGATCCAACGCTAACAATTCGCACCCGAGCTCTGTGATAGTATGGTTACACAAAGTTACATCAAGTAATACTTCCTGGTAATTTTTCTGAATACTTTGTGATAATCAATTCCTATCGTTTCAGGGGCATGCAAGACGACGATGGCGAGCAATTTGTAGCTCATTTCATTCCAACAGTAGAAACTCTCCAAAAGACACTTCACGATAAGGAAGAAGGTCGAAGCTTGCGAAGAGGAAGGAGGCTGTGTAAGTTTCACTGATTGCACTGTATATTACACAACTTTAATGGACTTTCTTACAGATATTGGCTATATTAATCGAATAGTACGTGGACCCCAGTGAAGAATAAGAACACGAAAGGTTTTGAGCGCGATAACTACTTCGTTTATTACAAGGATCGATGTTTCCATTATAATGAACTAGAAACCAAAGTACGGTGGCCACGAACGGCCGCCTGTATGCGCATCGAGAAGGTGGGTTTCGTTCGTTGCTCAGTTATTCGCTGTTTTTATTTTCCAACTCTTTTTTCCCTTACTTAACGATCTTCTTTGAGCTACATTTTTCAAAACTCGATCTTGTAACATTCTGCTAATTCTGTGTGCTTTTAGCCTAACACGCGTCTGAATATTACGTATACTGCTCCTACTGAAGCTGAAATGCAACAGATGACCTGAAAATCAGAGTGAAGTGTTTGCTGAGGAACTACGACTGCGGACGATGAAGTTGAAGTGATGGACGGGTAAGGGCTTCTTTCCTGTTAAGCTAGCCAGTGCAAACAGCGTTGTCGCAGTGACCACCGATGGGAGAGGAGCTGTGCTTGCCCAGTACAGGTCGGGATATCTCTGTATACAATTTTTCTTGTTTTGAGTGCTGCACAGCTGTGGCGCCCCAGCCCCATCCTCTTCTTCACAAGGCGCATGACGGAAAATTTGTGTTGAAGGCTGTATGTGCGAGCCGTTGGTAATTATAGAGGGAGTCGTGCTGAAAAAGAATTTCAGGAGAGACGGCGGTACTCACACTGCCAGATAACGCGTTACATGCTACTTAGGTTGTGAGGCACCGGTCTTGTAAAACGCAGAAATAGCAGTAGCTAGCGGGATGAAGCGGCTAAACATGTACCGGTAGGCTATGGAATGGGTTTTCTTGGACGCGAAGGCGGACGTTGTCGAGCCGTTTGTCATGCATGCAGCTACTGAGATTGTGAGGTCGTAGGAGAAAGTTAGAAAACCGAATAAACGAAGACCGTGCCAGCGAAACCAGTAATGGGTAGCCCTTCATCATGATGCGCATTTTCCTTACAGCCTATCCTGATGCCTGTTATGGATTGGAGATCGATCCTTTCCGTTCTGATACTTCCCATGTCCGCTTATTGAAGCTTTTCTAGTCCCTGGACGTGACCTAAGCTCAACTTGATCGAACCGTTGTTTTGCTGCTTATGAGAAGCCTTGTCCTGGGTAGTTCGTTTCAAACTGAAACTTAGCTCAAGGGCTTTGTGAGTTCACGTGTAAGCGTCCATTTCACCCGCTAGCGGTTATGTAACGTATGACAAACTACTATGCATTACTAAGATTAACGGTTATTTTCTATGGGTATAATACTCCTGAGTTATGTACTTAGGCATTGTTGTTCACAATTTTCCTCGGTTTCTTTTTATTTTGTTTTTTTTCTTACTTAGTTCTGTTTCCTGGTTTTGCAGGTTACTTGACCCCGCTGAGCAGTTTTACCGGTTTTTATATAGCATGAATGTAAAGCAAGATGGCCATGGAGCTACGTAGTGGAGCGGCCTGTCGGGCTGCAGAATGCGAAGCGCACTTGTCCAGATAGGTGAGGTGCAGGTGGCGGAGTCCGCATGAGGTCGAAGATTTGCATAACGTTTCGTGATAACACTCACGAGTTCAGATAGGGACAACAGGCCTGGTTTCGTTTCTTCCTCTACAGGTGCTCTTTTACTATCCAGTCATGTTGGCTTGCTTCCTTACCCATCCCCTCTCCCTCATTATAATTCTTACTTCATTCCGACTATATAAGGATAGCATGTAATGCTTTCAAAAAAAAAATAAGATTTTCCAGACAAGGGATCGGAGAAGTCTGATGGTGAGGAAGGGACAGAGAAGGAGAAGGAAAAGAAGGACGAGTCAGGTGGATCAGAAGGCTCAAACAGTGAAAAGGTTAGAGTTCATCCATTTGTAGCTACTGTTGCTTAACTTCTTATTTTTTAACCTTCATAACTTCCAAAAGCCGAACGAAGAGTCCGCAAACCTGTAATTTTTCATTGATTTTGTAGACAAATTTCCAACAAATTAAGTAAAGCTGGAAAGAATGTAGAGTGTATAGTAGACTTTTGTGGTCGTTTCAGGAGAATAGCACGGATAACGAGAAAGATAAAGATGGTGATAGTGATGATGGCGACAGCGATAGTGAAAATAAGAAGAGCGCTAGCGAGAAGGACAGCTCAGATGAAAGTGACTGAAGGTAAATTTAAATTAGCGTAAGCAATAACAAAAACAGTTTATTACAGTGTTCTGTGAAAACATTGCAGGTATTTTCATTTCTTTTCCTCCGGCTTCTTTTCTTCGGCAGGTTTCTGCTCGCTTTTCTTCTCATCTGCCTTCTTTTCATCCGGTTTCTTTTCATCAGGCTTCTTTTCCTCGGGCTTCTTATCGTCAGGCGGTTTCTGCTCGCTCTTTTTCTCATCCGGCTTCTTTTCGTCGGGCGGTTTCTGCTGACTCTTTTTCTCCTCTGGCTTCGCAGCACCCTTTCCTGTTTGTCTAATGACTGAAGTAGAGAGCTTAAGGTCTGCTTTGTCGAACAGTTTCTCCGGATCTTCATTGTCTTTGTTCTGTAATAGATCGTTACTGTTTGCCGTTTCTTTTTTTGTAACCATTCTTATAAGAAATTAGGCGCAAGTCGTCTGAGGAGCCACAAAGGAGCGTTTGGGCGTAGTCCGGCAACGGAGGAAGGAGGGGGGGGGGGCATATTGCACCTTCGCTGCTCCCCATCGTGGTGTGGAACCATCAGTAGAGATTTGTGGGTAGTTTTGTAGTAATTACTTATCAGCACTTGTAATGAATTCCTGATAACCCTTGTAAAGAAATGAGCATGACAGTGGGAACTGGCGAAAGTACATAACGCCCCCCCCCCACCCCGTCGCCGAAGTGCAGCCTAAGGTCCTTCGTGCGAGCCTCGGAGCGCTTCTCTTTAAAGATGGGGTTCTTTGGGTCAGGCCCAGACATGGATAGGTCATCCAGCTAGAGAGAGAGAGGAGAACAATTCCTTTCTCTGGTGCAAAAATGGATGCTACGTAAGTGCCCTCCGCCTACATCCATGGCGCTCGTCGCTACCCCTCAGCCGATTGCCTGGAAATTAGTACCGCCGCAAACCAGTTTTCGAATACTCGAGTGACAACTTACCGGAGCGGTCACAATCACTATCTTATCTGATTTTACCGCGGCAGCTTCTCGGCGAACAGTGACTTCTTGAGATTTTCCTGGTTCCACATTTGAATAGACAGGGTGCACTCTGAGCTCGCTTCCTAGCATTAATTCAGTTTTGCTTGCCGTTTGTGTCCTGTTATTCTTACTTTGGTTAATATAATCAGGATTGAGTTTCACTTTTATTGAATTTTATTTCCCTTGATTCGCGCTGAACCGCGCTCATGTACAATCTCGTTCCGAGCTCGTTTCCACCAGCTGTTGAAGCTGGTAAGCGACAGCAATTGATGGAAAACGATGGCCTACGAAGCGATGTTATACAGTGTCGCCGCTTGCTGTGTTCCTCAACTTTTGGAAAGATTTCGCGCGGCGCCGCACCAACCCTGCCTGACACGCCCCCTCATCCGCTGCGAGAGAGGACTGATGAACTACACTTGAAAAGCCTTTTTTATCAGGACGATTTGATGTTTCATGCTAATTGCTTTACGTCTGTGAAACGATTAGTGAGGCAGTCTCGTCTGTAAGGTCTCAATATTGATTGCTTAAAGTCACCTCTAATGTGTTTTTTTAATTGAATCTGACACCTGTTGGCACTCCTTTTTTCGTCCCACTCAAGTTGTGTTACGCTGAATTTGAGCGGCTTTCCTAAAAATGCCTAAGTAACTGAGTTCAGTCGAGTCAACTTCTTAATGCAGTTCACCTTCTTTATCACCTTCTTCTTTCGCTGAAAACTTTCATATTAAAAACTTCACTGATCTCATTTATACGTGGCTACTTACCTGCACCCTCCTTCTTCTCCTCGGGTTTGTCTGGAAAACTTTTATTACATTTTTTGACGGCTTTGCAGCATAGGAGAGTATTTTTAGAATAGTTTCTGCGGATTACAACACCGGCCCTCGCACAAAGGCGTGTTTCAAGGCGCTTCATTGACAACTGCTGGGCCAGGAATAGAACTTTGCGTATGGCGCCAGTCAGGGTAGCAGCATCGGTTGTGTGAAAGCACATAGGAAGGGGGGGGGGGGGGGGCGTCATGCGTATTCAAAACGATTTCCGGCATGGGGAGAAAAAAATTCTTCCCGTTTTGCACTGCTCTTGTTTAACCTGTAACGTCCCTTTAGTTTTTGGCAAGTAGCATGAGCCACAGGGTAGGAGTACAGATGCACTAAGTGCTTTCAAAAGCCCCTAAACCCCCCGAACAGCGCCCAAGATTACATTGCACCTTTATCAGGCCTACAGTTCGGATTAGGCTAGTCGCCTTTGTCAGAGCTCCGTGGAATCTGCGGGCTCTGCGAATTTTTCAAATCGATCGGCATTTTTATTCTCAGGTCCGGGCGCGGAGATCTTGTGTGAACGCGGCTAGCAGCTGAGGCAGTGCTTTTAACACGTAAGCTGGTCCATGAATTTCCGCTCTCCGGAATTACCACCACCACTTCCATTAACCAATCCATCCTACTACTTGCTAGCCATAAAATTCTCCCAGCTTCATTACGGTTTTCCGGAGATTTTAATCGCTTGAATCCTTTCTTCCAGAAACTCGCTGTCGGCGGGCCAGGGCGCGTCATTGGTTGGGGATTATATCGGCACTCAATAACGCCCCCCTTTTTTTTGGGAATTGAACGATCCCCCTCCCCACACCCTCTTTCCTTCTCATCGAATCGAGTCGTCGAGCGTGGAGGAGGGGGGGGATTGATTGGGGTATTGTAGTAGGGGGGGGCTACATAGTCCGCAGTAATAACCGGAAAATCACCCAAAAGTCACTAACCACTCTCTACAACGTCAAAAACGTGAATACGACCTACCTGCCCTCCTAGAAAAGATTCAAATATACCCTCGCTTACCCTCCTTTACAACGTCCTCGAGCGAGAAAAATCAACTATCAAAATAAATTTTTCTCAGCCCAAATACGACGACCCCCTCCTGGCGACCAAATACGACCCCCCCTATTGGGGATTCCCCAACAACGATGTGCCCTGTCGGCGGCGGGAGAGGGACATAGCTCTTGTGAAACGGGAAACCCGAAGAGATGACGGCCGTGGCTGCCCTACATCGAAATGCCTCCCTATGTTAGCGTTGCCCTCGAATTTTTGCGAGATCCTTTTGTATTTCGAAGCTGATCTGGCATCTTCTTGATATCCTTCTTGGCAGTACCTTTTTCTAGTACCTTCTGCTTGACGCACTAGTCAAACGCTTATTGTTTACGCCTTCTGCACGAAATATTCTCATCCCCTGAGCTCTATTTTCGATACCCTAGGCGCCCAAACAAGTAAGAGCGAAATGTGTTCGAGATTGGTGTAGGTGAAATAAGAGGAATAAGATTTTCCTGTTTTGAGTATTCGGCGTAGAACACAATTCGAGAGAAGTGTTCCAATGAAGCCACTTTTTACTATGCTTCAGTGGTCCGTAATACGCACAACTTACCGCCTTTTGGAGCGCCTTCCTTTGCTTTATCCTCTGGTTTTGCTTCACCCTCTTTCTTCACCTCCTCCACTTTACTAGCCATTGTCCTGTCCGTTTTGATCGCTTCTTTACCTTCCTTTTCCTTGCTTCCCTATAAAAACTGCTTTGATTTTTTCAGTAAAAAATATACAGGTTTAACAAGATACCCCTTCTTTCTTCACTTCAGACTTCTTCTCTTCCTTACTTTCCTTGGAGTCTTTGCTATCACTGCTCTTAGCATCCTGGAAAATTGGCATTTCTGGATGTTATCTCAAAGCATCTTGGCATCAAGCGGTTACTAGCGGACTACTTTAGGCTCGTAAAATTATGGGCGAAAACAGGCAACTTCCCAACGCTAAACCCCGAGTTTCGAGAGATATTGAATCCGAAAATCGCCCAAGGAACATTGTAAATTCCATGTCGTCGCCTCAAGTCGTATCGTACAAAAGTCGATGTAAAGGCAGGAGGGGCACGATTGCTAGAGGGGGGGGGGCTCTTGTCGGCAGCGTCATTGGTGGAAAGACTGCGAGATAGGCGTATGGTCACCCCCACTCAGCCCTTCCACCTGGCATTGGTGACAACAGCCCGTCAGCAGTCGTGCCGACTGTTTCAAAATGTACTGTTGTCGACGCAGGACATTCTGTTTTAACCCTAATAGAGTAAACTGTATGAGAGCTCGGAAACTTCTCAGAGCCTAAACTTACTTTTGAGCCTTGCGGTGCTTCGCCTGATTTACTAGCCTCTCCAGTTTTACTCGCCTGAAACAGCTTTTATGCTCTTGCAGCAGTGAAGGGAAGCAAGGAAGGAACAACTCTAAAAGAAAAGCTGCCGTAGTACAGTCTCGTTCGCTGTTAGATAAAGGGGCGTGTCGACCATAGCCAAAACGCAGTGATTTCTGTTCCATGCCGTCAATTTATGCGTTGTTCTCCCGTGAGCTGTGTTTCGCTGCGCAAGACCGTGGCATCTAAATTCAGCGCTGCCACGATGGAGATAGCTCGGCGGCGGAAGACAGCCCTCCGGCGTTATCAGTTTCATTCCCGTACACTTCTGAGCGACGAAGTGCTCGTTCTGCTGCTGTGGATCGATTCCACTGCTGTGACCCATTGCCCTCGCAAGGCGTAACAATGCGGGACTGCAATGCTTGTTTTTCGGTTAGATGTCGGAAAGGGATCGCTGATTGGTTAGGGGTATAGCGCTGAGGCGGCGAGGATGTTTTTCGTAATTTGTATACAATAAGGACATACTGCACGGTCAAAATGATGGGTAACGGGACTCGAATGCTGGTAGCGACGTGGAACTTGACTCGCAAGTGAAAAAAAGGAAAAAAATCATTAGATATAACTTCATGACGAGCCTAGCTTGTTCATATCGCAAGGCGAAGATAGGGCGTGCTTTGACGAGTTCTCACTCATCCTGATCATGAGGATATCAGCTCTTTGCTCTTATCACTTCACTCTAACATTCGAAATGGGAGAAATTCATTGTGAAACAACTGCACCATCAGGAGTCCTTTGGAAATGAATGCGTGGGCGGAGCACTGCTTCGGCGTAATACGGTAGCGTCGCTATCACTTGTTTTGTAGCCGCAAATGTAGTTCAGCGTAGTAGCTCGGGACGGGTTTTACTTCTCCACCAGTTGTTAAAGCGAGCAAGTGATATGACTGTATCATATCGTTCGTATTACTCGTTTTCTACCACTTTTTGCATGCGCGCTTCAACAAGAAGGCAGAGAACGGCTTTGACGGCGTGACACACTCATACTGCCTGACACGCCCAACCGTCCGCAGCGAACTAGAGTGTATATCATGTACTGAAGGACAGGGTCATCTTCTTCAAGGACGACGTCCGTGCACCATACGAACACGGAGCGCGGCTTTGAACGAACGGTATCGCTGAACGATTTTAAGCTCTCACGTGTCTTCTGACAACATGTTGGCGGTTGTGTTAGGCAGCGTTCAGACTTCGCGACGGCAGCGCTTCGGTCGCGCGTTCGACGCGATCAATGCAGTCGAAAGCATGCGCATCGATCGCGTCGAACGCGCGACCGAAGCGCTGCCGTCGCGAAGTCTGAACGCTGCCTTAGGCTGTGTGACAAGACAACCGTAATATACGCGCTCGTGGGCGTGGCGAGCGTTGCCGCGCACGGTGGGCGAGTTGTCCTCTGACCGCTCGAATTTGTGTGTGAAAGTCACGGAGAATTTCGATGCCGCCCGTCATGCAGTTTTGCCTCCACTTGAATCCACATGAGTATCGCGTTCCGATTAAGAACCTGAGGCACATTAAGAATCTGCGGCGCATCGCCGCGCAATAGCCCGCGCGCGGCGGCGCAAGAAATCACGATTGTCTCGTCCGTTTCCGTTGTAGATGTGTCATGACATGCTGAGTACGAGTTTTCCGAGTCTGTATAAACATTACTACGAAGACCTGCCATAACACCGCGGCAAGTTTTTTGCCCAGTGATGCGGTTAATTCACATTTCTCGAGCTCACTGATATGTTGCGGTCGTGCGATAGGGTCTAAGGTCAGGTTCATACCTTGCGATTCCTTTGACGTTTTCGGTGACTACGCTTAAGAGGCTGATACGTATCGATTTGACGTTTTAGACGTTAGACTTCCCGATCGCTGAACAACGTACGCATTTAGTATTCTGGGCGTGGTCGCCAAAGACGTCGAATACATCGAATCGATATGTATACACTCCTTTTCAGCGATATCCCCATACCGTCAGTGCAAGGTATGAACTCAGCCTTAGTAGATTTCTGGCTATCTACATGGAGATGCCGTAAAGTCCCCTCGAAGGCGGTGGGCACGATAGGTTGGGGGCGGGCGGTCCCTGCCAGTGTTATTGGTAGAAGGGCTGAATGTGACCGAACGCTTTTTCGCAGTGCTCCCACCAATGACGTTGGCAGCAGCCGCCGCATCGTGCCCATTGCCCTTAAAGTCAGGACGATAGTCCTCTGGTGGCGCTAGGCATCTTGAATGGTTTCTCAGTTCGTAGTCTCAAGTGGTTCCTATTAAGTGGCTATACCCCTCCCGCAGGTAAACCCAATGAGTAGCACTTACCATAGTCCCGGCGTCTTTCTTTGCTTTCTTGCAGTATAGCAGTAGCGTTCCGAAAAGAGCTGTGAATGCAAGTTGCACAAGAATCTCGATCATTTTGTCGACTGTGTAATTGTCTGAAACATTGGAGGAATCACAGCTACGTATTTCAGATAGACATCAACCAACACTTGGTTGGCCAACCTACAATAGCAAATGAAACACCTGTAGGACCTGAGTGGTATACTCACGACAGGGATCATATTCAGAGAAATAGGCCGCAAAATGGAATCATTATCTTAAGAAATTGAGTTACATATATTAAGAATACACTTCATATCATAGATACGCTTCGCCACTTCAATTATTTCTAATTATATCCAGGGCGAAGTAATGTCTGTAGATCATCAATATGGATCTGATTACAGGACTGTCCTGTGAATAGATACGGTCATAGTTTCGGGTAGCTGGTGGCGCATGTTCCCCCCTAGAGTCGCCTATAGTTTTGGGGCGATGGACAAGACACCCGTAATTCGTGCGTCGTCGCGCGCGATGTGTAGTGCGACCATGCGCGTCAAATGTTCAGGGGTGCACAGTTTCTCAGGTGAGGGCGAACTCATTGAGGTTGCATAACAAAACACTCGTCATGTCGAACGACGTGGACTTTCATTCTTCGACTACCCATTCTCCAAATGGCCAGGCACAGGACAACTCGGAGCTGTAAGGCGCAGCGTCGTCTGCCCGCCACTAAAGCGGCATAGGTTGAGCCTTGCCACATTCCAATAGTGTTGTACAGCATTCACTTCTAGAATTGACTATGGGACATTCCGCGGTCCAAAGTCGGATCTCTCGACATTCTGTCCTGCTTGCCTTTTATGTACTGTCCCACGTTTCATCATTCCGATTCGATTTTCGTGAAATTCGTCGGCGAATGGGATACTCAGGGACAACAACTGGTGGAGACCGGGCCAGCGCCGCGCCTTGATACGCCCCAGCATCCGCAGCCGACGAGCTATGCGTCTCTCGGTCATACCTCTTGTATCAACCGTTTGATGTTCTCAGAAGGACCGTGATGGCACAAACGCAGGAGGGCTTATGGAAGAAGTATTTTATTACTACTCGTCATGCAGAAATGAGATGCCTTTCATTGAACATATTACTCACTAACACCGTTCTGAATCCAGAATCTTATGAGGCCGCCCGAGTCAGTAACAGACACCTTTCTTTAGGTCATGTAGCTCTGTCCGCCCCCCAAGCTTAGCGAGGATTTTACTTCTTTCGCGGTCTTAAAAACAAGCAGTAAAGCGCCTCCGTCACTGGCCATAGCACGCCCATCTTTCATTTTTAAGGCAGTTGGCCACGAGAAATCTCCAAGACGAGCAGGACAAAAGCTAGCAGGACGCGTATTCCGTCGACCTAGAGAGGCGCCTGCATAATGCTTTTCCATGGAGCAGCCTTGTAAGGCGCTTATCAAGCCACAATTTTACGTTCCCAACACGCCCCCTTGCCGCCCCGCTACAAATGGACGAACTGCTTCAGGACGCTCTTAACTGCATTCATTTGCTATGTTGAGCGAAGGCATTGGTATGAAGCGGTCGTGATGCTGCATGGATATATGAGTACACATTATGCAGCCGTACCTTCGGTAGCGGTTATTGGTAAGATGCCTTCGGTGAAACTCGTCCAAAATTGATTACTAACACAGTGAGAACGAAGGCTCTTTTTTTCACAGGATTTTGACCGTTTCACTCCGTTCTTTCGCCATTTCCCCACTATACAGCGCCTGTACTGCATTTAGGCGAGACACCCGTCATTCGTGCCAACTGCCTTTAACTGCTGCCTGGGGTGCGGTTCCTCCGCTGCTAGCTCTCTTCATTCGAATGGTGAAAGTGATGAGGAGAAATGGGTGGCACAAAGAAATGAGGTATTGTCCGACTAGCGCCCTTCCCCATATGCACTTACGAGCGCGGATCAGCATGGGGTTCTATAGTGGGCACTTTGGGCGGGTTTTTCTGCTTCTTATTTTTTTGTTACTTGTTCGCTTGTCATTACTGTTTGGGCCTGACAACTCACCATTCTTAAGAGTAAAGCGTAACTTTTTTCGATTATTTTATCGAGTTGAATAGCCGGTGTGACATTACTACACTGCGGTTGTAACGGCGTCTTTCTTCTCTTCTTCTTCTCTCTTCTCTTCTTCTTCTTTTCTTCTTCTTCTTCTTCTTCTTCTTCTTCTTCTTCTTCTTCTTCTTCTTCTTCTTCTTCTTCTTCTTCTTCTTCTTCTTCTTCTTCTTCTTCTTCTTCTTCTTCTTCTTCTTCTTCTTCTTCTTCTTCTTCTTCTTCTTCTTCTTCTTCTTCTTCTTCTTCTTCTTCTTCTTCTTCTTCTTCTTCTTCTTCTTCTTCTTCTTCTTCTTCTTCTTCTTCTTCTTCTTCTTCTTCTTCTTCTTTCTTCTTCTTCTTCTTCTTTTCTTCTTCTTCTTCTTTCTTCTTCTTCTTCTTTCTTCTTCTTCTTCTTCTTTCTTTCTTCTTTCTTCTTTCTTCTTTCTTCTTTCTTCTTTCTTCTTTCTTCTTTCTTCTTTCTTCTTTCTTCTTTCTTCTTTCTTCTTTCTTCTTTCTTCTTTCTTCTTTCTTCTTTCTTCTTTCTTCTTTCTTCTTTCTTCTTTCTTCTTTCTTCTTTCTTCTTTCGAATAGTTGAACTAGATCATTTGTGCCAGGGTACTTTCAAGGAATAG